GATCCCGCCTTGTCGTTGCAAAGCGGCACTCGCTAGACTGTCGGCACTCCCGTTCCAGTCCCTCTTGGCATGCACCAACTCATGATCACTCCATTTCCTCAGACGATCGAGGGCCTTCCGCTTCAATAGCGTCAGCCCGGGTGCTTTGCAATCGATCTCGCCCCGTACTTGTCGGATCACTAAGTTGGACCACCGCAGACCACCAAGCGTCTGCGATCCAGGTCCTCTAGCATGTCGAGTCCCAGGATCAGGCCGTTATATTCTGCTTCGTTCACGGTGAGGCTCTCGAGATAGCCCGATCTGGCTTTGACCACCTCCCATCCGGGCAAATTCCACACGATCGCACTGAACGCGCCTCCGCCACGCTTAACTCGAAATAATTACCCTTCTCGATCTACGGTCGGAATCGGTGCTTGGATCCGGCGTTTAGGTTCCTTCCAGGGAGCGATTTCGGCCACATCGTCGTCCATCTTCGCCCTCGGCGTGATACTGGCAGCGATCGACCCCAGTGTTTTGTCCTCGCCCTTCATGCATGTCGTGATCTCGAGCGTCCACGGGGCCAGGAGGGCGGACCATTGTCCTAGGCGGCCCTGCAACCCCGTCGACTTGAACAGCCAGGCCAACGTGGAATGCCCCGTTAGGACCCGGATCTCGCGTCCTACTAGCAAATTGTAATAGAGATCCAAGATCCTCAGCAGTGCCAACACCTCCTTCTCAGTCACATTGTAATTCAACTCGTTCGTCTTCAGGGTGCGACTGGCGAACGCCACCGGATGATAGATCCCGTCGTGTTCTTGCGTCAACGAGGCGGATATCGCCCAATCACTGGCATATACGATAACTACCGGCGTTCTCGTCTCGTCGAAATGGTGGAGGATTGGGGTAGTTGCGATCTTGGTTTTCAGAGTGGTGAAGGCCCTATGTGCCCTGATCCACCTCTCATCCACTCGTTCCTTCAACTTCAGTCCCGATGGGCCGTGATCTCGAGGAATCGGATCGTTCCGGTCCATGATCTCCCTCAGATCCGATCGTTTCTCCAGTTCTGCAAACTCCACCTCGCGCAATTCATAGAGCACCGAAGCGTAGATAGCATAATCTTCGATGAATCGGCTGTAGTAATTCAAACTACCCAGGGACGACTGCATAGATCGAAGTGATCCGGGGAACGGTAGATTGATTGGTTAGAGATTTCAGATCTTTTGGGTTCGTCTCCAGACCTCCGATCGACACGCGGTGTCCCAAATATCCTAACTTAACCATGCCCCAGAAACTCTTCGCCACACTGATCGATATATTCCACTTATCGCAAGCCTCCAACAGATCTTTCACCCTTTGGCACATTTGATCCCACGATTCTCCTGCGATCATGATGTCGTCAATGTATGATCTGCGTCCCAACACTGAGTCCCGATCAGGATCGTCCGCGATCCCGGTCTGGAACTCGTCCGTTGTTGTTTCAGCATTGCCTGATGGTGAGATCTTCAAAAATCCATACAACGCGTTGTCTACGAGGCGTTGATAAATCTGCGGGGCATTCTTTAGGCCAAAAGGCATCGAATAGTCCAAACGGAGTGATAAATGCTGAGACCTCGCGAGCCCGATCCGTCATGGGCACGACCCAGAAGCCGCTGGCCATATCTAGCGAGCAGTACCATAGTGCTTTATCAAGATCTTCTAGTAGATCGCTGATCAGGGGCATAGGGTAGACTATCAGCCTCGTGAGGCTGTTCACCAGCTTGTAATCGATACATAGTCTGATATCCACACCGTTACTCTTGCGAACAATCACGATCGG